GGAGGCTGGAGCGGGCGCGAGCGCGAGTGCGCGCAAGGCTAGCGGGAGGGGGCAGGCGCGGGAGGTACTCTGGCGGGAGGAGGGACGGGGAGCCACCCAGCAGCCTGAGTCGCCCCAAGCGCGAGACCCCTGAGACGGCCGCTGATTGGCTGACGATGGCGCAGGTGGTGGGCGCGCGGGAGATGGGCGGCTTCTCTTCTCCCCCCGCTTCAACAATTCACCCCCACCTCCCTTTGCCAGCGGCCGTTATTTCGCGCGCACGCGCACACAACACCGCTGTCCCTGCTGAGCGGGAGAATAAGGGAGCGCGCGCCGGTGGTACCGTTGGGGCGGGGCTAAACCCGAAGCGCGCGCCCGCCTAACGGTCGTCGTAGCCCTCCTTCTTTCGCTTCAGTTTTTTGATTCCTTTCGGCCACCGTCCTCTCCCCTACCCATGCCAGCGGTTTATTTACAATCTTGCGCTGGTTCGTGGCTTCCCAAAGATGGCGCTCAAGGAAGTGTGCCGGCTTGCTCTTGGCCAACCCCAACGGCACTTATCCCTCCGGCCCCGCCCCCACCGCACCAAAAATCAGGCTGAAGCACGAGAGTAATAACTGTATTTACACGCCAGGAGGTTATACAAGGGTTAAAATAACAGATGTGAGGAGACAGCAGTCAGGAGGGGCCGGAGCGGTGGCCGGCGGCCAGGCCCAGGATGTTCGCCTGCAAGAGAGGGGGAGGGAAGGGCGTTAGGGGCTGGAGCTCGGGCGCCGCGCGGCGCTGGCTCGCCAAGAGGGGCGTCAGGACCTGACCTTCAGGAACGACTCCATCTGCTTGGCGGAGATGCCTTCCACGCGCTCCAGGTCCTCCACCTGCGGGGACAGCGCGCTGGGAAGGGGCCTGGGCCGGCCGCGCCCCGCCCCGCCCCGCGCCGCCCCCCTTACCTGGCTGAAGGGGCCGTGGAGCTCCCGCCAGCCCACGATGAGCTGGGCCTTCTTCTGGCCGATGCGCTGCAGGCTGCGCAGATCGCGGGTTGAACCCTCGTTAAGGAGGTCCAGGATCTTTTGGCGCCCGTGGGCCAGCAGCTCGGGGCTGATCTCCAGCTCCCAGCAGTCCTCAGGCTTCTGCTCCTCAGGCTCCGAGGCATCCAGGGACTTCAGCTTCGAGGCAAGGGGGAGCGAGTGACGGCAACAGCGGCAGAGCGCTTTGGACTCCTCTGGCAAGACTGGGAGCCCAGCTGCAACACCTCCCCGCCCTCTCCAGCCTCTACCCTTCTGTCAAATGACCAAAACTTTCTCCCTCTGGCTATCCTTGCTACTTCTCATTGTATGACTGCAGGGTGATGCTAGTTAGTGCTGTTCTCAGGAGTGTCTGTGAAGATCCAGCGAATTGAGCCTAACACGCGAAGCAGGCACTTCCGCGTCGCAGGGGCCAGGGATGTAAATGCTACCAGCATGAAGCCTTTGGTCTGACCCCCCAGGGCCCGGAGTGGAAGTGTCTCACCAGGAAAGAATGAGAAAGCAATAAGTAAAGTGCACACAGACACACCCACAGTTCGGGGTGAGTTCTAGTGTTGCATTTTTGAGTGTGTAAACATTGTGAGTGTTGAGACGCTTGAAGCGCTTAGATCATATTTCCCCTAAGTTTGTAGAGGGCAGGAGCCAAGCTGCACATTGCGTCCTATCAGTAGCTCCTGACAGGACAGGAACCATCAGGAAGAAGGGAAACTGAGGATGGTGGATACACGCAGGTATATCTGTATCATTACATTTCACCCTACATATCCTTCAAGGTTTCGGCACTGCATGCAGAACATAAGCAAGCTGGAAGAGTAACAGCAGGTCATGTGCTTCCAAGGCCAGTCTCTGCCCCTAGACCTTACCTCTCCTAGTCTTAAGGTGTAGCCTAAGTCTCCAGCTACTCTCACCTTTCTCTTCCGCCCTTTCTTCTTCAGGACATGGATCTCAGCATGTGGAGACGCTGCCTGCTCCTGAACTGGGAGCAAGCATTGAGAACTGGGGTCAGGACAGAGGCCACTTTTGTCCTTCCCTGATAACCACTTTGGTCTCCCATTCTGATTCTTTGGTTCCCCGCTAACCATTTATTATGTCCCAACGCGATCTTTCTTATACCTGTATCTGACAGTCTCAGTTGGTCTTGCATTATAATCACACACTTGTCTGTCTGCCCCATTGTACTAAACACCTTAGGGCAGTGGTTTTGAACATAAGCATGCATGCTGCAGCAGGCACACAGAGCCCCCTCTGCCAGCATATAAGCCAAGTCGCTCCAGCATCGCCCCAGCAGCTGAGCATTCAAGTTTAATTGCAGTGTTGGCACTTTGCAATTAAGTGGGTTTGGGAGCACTCAGTCTCTAAAAGGTTTGCCATCACTGGCCTGGTGCAAGGCACCTAACACTGCTTTAGATCCTTTAGATCCTTCTCGACCCTCCCTGGGGCTGGCATAAGGTGGGACAACACCAGGGCAAGCGGATAGCTGCTCGAACTAATACCCTCTCCCTTGTGGGACCTAGGCTATCTGTGTGCTCTTGGCCCCTGGAAGCAAACGTACTCAGCTGTAGGGGCATCACCACTGCCTTTTTCAGGGGCTTTGCCACTGTGACTGTGTGGCGGGAAAGGGGTCGAAGCAATGAGCGAGAGTTCTCCTTCTCCTCTTCCTCTGTTGCCTCCTGGGCCAGTACCTTGGCCTCCAGCTCCTTTTGCTTCATCTTAAGTCTCTGTTGGAAACAAGGAGAGGTGTGACCTAAACCCAACACTGGGGCAGTAAATTAGGAAGATGAGTAGGCAGAGTTCAGGGCCCAAAAGGAGAGTACTAGTACCAATAGGAGAAGCTACCAGAAGACAGGTGAAGCCCAACATAACTAAGGGTCTTCTAATAATCAGGGGCTACCCAGAGGTCAAATATGCCTCTTCGGAATTATGAAGTGAAAGCTGGTAAGTAGGGTCCTTTTTTTTTTTGGTTTTCTTCCGGTACCGGGAATTGAACTCACAACATTACGCTTGCCAGGCAGGCGCTGTGCCACTGAGCTAAATCCCCAGCCCCTAGTAGGGTCCTTAATATGAACTGATTTTAGGAAACTGACATGTAATGAGGTTTTGGGGAATTTTTTTTCTACCTCTTTTCTCTTTTTTTGGTACCGGGAATTGAACTCAGGACCTTGCGCTTGCCAGGCAGGCAATGTGCCACTGAGCTGTACCCCTGGCCCTCCACCTCCTTTCATGAGATGTCAATTATTTTTCAAAGTTGAGCCATGTTAAGAACACTTGGGCAGAAGCCAAAAACTTCTAATCTAACCTGAAAACTCCAGTCCAACCTGCATGTCCTTCCCTGTCTGAAGATATTAGGACTGCTTCTTAAGGCCAGTGAGATCATGGTTGTTTCTTCCAACACTTACCTCAATTTCCAAGTCCTTCTCTTCCACTGTCTTCAGGAGCACCATTCGCTCTCGTTTGGGGGTGTTCAGCAGAGGGGTCCCCTGGCTCCCCTGGGAGCCCAGCATTCGGTCCAAGCTCAAGAGGCGTTCCAGCATGGCCGGGTCCATGTTGCTTAGCTTCTGCAGCGGGCTGCACAAAGCAGTTAATCCCCACTCCCCTCCTCTCTCACACCACCTCCAGCAGTAAGATTCCCCTCATCATCCCTTAACTTGGTACATCATGTGAGGGTCCATAATCCTGAGGTAAACTTGCTGGGCAATACTGAACAAGTCATAACCGCCCTGGACAGTGTCTTTATCAGGTGAAGTAACCTCTTGGGGATGCCAGAATATCAGACAAGAACAAGCATTTAATGAGCACCTAAGCGCTAGATATCAGGAACCTACAAAACTGTCCAGTCCTGGATGCACTCACTGCCTAATAAGGAAAGTAAAAAACCATAATAGGGTGACAGAGCTGAGGCCTGGCTATCTGGAAAAGCAGTTGGGAAGAGTCACAGAGCTCAATGTTAGCAGAGCTGACAGCCACTAACGCCTCAGAAACCAAGCCTTTATCCTGAGACCAGCAGGAAAGGCTTATTCAAGCAGAGTCCTGGCTGTCAGTCTAATATTTATCAGTTCTTACTAGAAGTTTTTCCCCCTCACCTCTTATATTAATTATCTGTCAAGGTCAGTTTGAGGCCATCTTTCCCATGATGCCCAGGGTAATAGAGCACTTCTTTGGTACATAGTGAACTAGCTCCTTGAGGACACGGCCTGTGTCCTATTCTTTATGTGCAAATGAGCAGGACAGCAGGATGAGAAAACTGGCTCTCACAGAACAAGCAGTGCTCCTTATTCTCTGTACTGTGCATCTCTCCCTGGCCTCATGGATCTGTCTAGGTCTGATGTGCCCCATCTCTGACCCTCACCTTGCCCAGAATTCCTATCAGGCCATTTCCCGCTCACACGTGTACACACGTGGACGTTTCAGTTTGTGCACAGAGCAGAGGGGACTGTGGAAAGATGGCTTGGGAAAGACAAAAGATTGCGAGATGGGTCCATGACTATGCAAGCACCCTTTGTGTAGAGCACCTTCTTCAATGCTAACAGCTCACGGGGTAGAGCACAGTGACCCTCAGGCTTCTCGGGTCACCTCTGTTCAGCAGTCTTAGCATTTACATAGCTTAGAGGCTTTATTTGGACACCGGCTGGAAACTGGCAGTTAGAACTGCAACGGGCTGTTGGACTCGGAGGATCAAGTGGGCAAACAGAATGCAAGGCCACTGGACAGAGGCAACCCTCATGAGGATTAGTACATACAGGGCCGAGGTGGGACTGACAGAACCGGTGGAGGGCCTCACACCAAAGGGACTTAGGCTTTGTCGGAACTGAGGGTAAAAGCAAGGTAACGTTAGGACGGTAGCTGACTCCCTGGAGAGTCCCAGAGAGGCTGGCCCCAAACACACAGATGGAGAAGTCTTGCTGAGACACCTCCTCACCTCATCCTAGCCCCCTTTGCTTTGCTCTGTCCCCTGGACCTGATGACTCTTTGAGTCAGAAGCAAAACTGCTCACCCTTGAAACAGCTGCCCCAAAATGTGAGGTTTGGTAGACAGCATAAAGGGACTGGAAAGTGGAAAGGGAGGGGGCCAGGAGCCCCAGAAGGAAGCCTCCTGAGGTCCTCCCTGCAGCAGCAATGAGACTAGTTTAGCCTTAGCACTTAAATGAAAGGAGCAGCAGGAACAAATTCACCATCTCCGGCAGGAGCCTAGACTCAGCAGGGAAGCGGTTCCACCCAAGCCCCCCACCATCACCACCCGCTCACCTGAATCTCTGGGAGGCAGAGGCTGGAGCTGCTGCAGGCTCGGGGCTCCCAGGCTCCACTTCCTCACAGCCTCGGGCTCTCTTTGCCTCAGACGGGCCTAGCAGTTCTTTTTGCGACAGCTTAACAGGTGGCAAGACTAGGCAAACATTGAGGGGTGAAGGGGGAAACGGGACATGGTCAGCCATTGTACTGGTGCTTGGTGGCCTTTCTACTCTCGCCTGCCCTAGTCCTCACCGTGAAGCTGCAGGCTCTCATTGGTGAAAGGCCGGTTGACCACCTCCCTGGACCTAGCAGCAAAGTTGAGTGCAGAGACCGTGTCTAGGTAAAAACGTCTCTCAGGAGCAATGTTGGCGATGAGGATGCTGTGGGCTGAGCCACCCAGAGAGTCCTGGGGGTGGAGACTGGAGTGAGTGGGTCAGAATCCCGGCTTTCCTGTTCCTTACAGCTACTCCCCATGCTCCAGGAAGCCTAAGACCCTCCTTCTCCAGTCCCTTCTGCCCTGCCACAGGTGAATCTGACCTGCAGCAGGCGGGTGAGCTTGCTGTCCCGATAGGGCACACGAGGGAGGCCCTGGTTCAGTGCATCCACCACCTTGCCCAGTACAAAAAGGGAAGTGTTGATGGCTCCGCTCTCTTTGAGCCGCAGGCCCTGGTTGCCTGTGCGCCGGTTGTCTTCCGAGCCAGCCAGGTCAATCAGGTAGAGTTTCCCTTCCCGCTGTCGAAATGGGGCCAAACGCTCCCGCTGATCCACCTGGGGGAAGAGCAAGTGTCCCAGGCTTAGCTCAAGCTCCAAGGGCTTCCTGGGTCCTCACCTCTGTCAGTGGGCCTAACCTTGACCAGGAGCACTGCATGACTGCGGGAGGAACGCCGGTTGAGCCGGGTGGCTCCGACAGTCCGGTTTCCGCTGGCGGGCAGGAAGTGTCGCTCAAAATCAGTGAAGCTAGTGATGGGCCTCTGCGTGAGGCCTGGAATCAGGATGTTTCCCCGACAGTCTTCTCGGATCACCAGGTCTCCTGACGCAGGGTCCAAGAGGTCTAATACCTGTTTGAGCAACGACAGGGAGGGCCTATTTTCCATGCTCAGGTTACTTCTGGGGTCAGTCTTTCCTCTGTTAGATTCTCAGAGTTGTACTGGCTACCATCCCAACCTCTGTCTCCAGCTCTTACCTCACCTCCTTACTAGAGCAGAGCTTCATGTTCTAGAACTTTCTTCTCTGACCCTGTGTTTCTTCCCTCTCTAACCTCAGACAGGCCTCACCTTTTCCTGGTAGATCTCTAAATAGGACATAGTGACAGAAAGGGCCCATGGCCGGCCCTCAGCGCCCTCCTCTCTTGTGAGCTGCAGGAGGTCCATGAGCGCCCGGGGAATCACTCCAGGCTGCTCTGGGCTGCCCAGCATGGTATGTGTCTTCCCTGGGGAAAGAGTGAAGAAAGCTGTAAGGTCATTCTCTCCATATCCCTAGCCTTCTCTGATCCATAGCTGTTCCATTTTAGCTCCCTCACCGGCTCCTGTAGGCCCATAGGCAAGTACACTGGCATTCTGGCCTTCCAGAAGGTGCCTCAGGATGGGCTGCACTGAACCTGCATAGATGTCCTGCTGAGAGCTCCTCTCCCCATAGAAGGCATCAAACCTGTAGGGGAAAGGAGGAGAGCACTAGCAGGGGGTTGTGTTGACACCCAGACCTAGCAGATACTGATTTCCAATTTAAACCATCCAGATTTAATCCTGCTTCAAGACCTTAAAAAGATCCACTGAACACCTATTCTGTCCCAGTGTCTATACTGATGTTAGGAAAGCAGAAATGAATCGATGTTGCTGCTCTTGGGGGTTTTGTAATCAGGTAGGATGGACAATATCTGTACTTTGCTGTGACTCAGGTAACAAAGATAAGAACACACTAGGAGTAACTGGTTCTGCTAGAGGAAGGAAGAGGGAGAAAGGGGGAGAACGAAGGAAGGAAGGAGTTCTGTGTATCAAGAATAGCACATAGAAGCCAGGTGTGGCGGTGCACACCTGTAATCCCAGCACTCAAGAGGCTGAGAGTCGCCAAAAATTCAAGGCCAGCCTAAACTGCATAGTGAGACTGTATCTCCAAAAAAGGAGAATAGCATGAAAAAAAAAAAAAAAAAAAAAGAATAGCATGTAGAAAAGACCAGGCGAGCAAGGGCTTCCTACTTTCCACATGGCAGCCTTCTATCCCTAGCCTATATGGAGTAGTATGTGTGCACCACTGTGGGTTAGACAAAAGGGTGCTGCTTATGCCTGTACTAGGTACAGCACATCTGTTGCCCATTTGCTGTACCCTGGAAGACAGGCTGTGGCTTAGGATACAGCAAGGAACATAATACATGTTGGTGGGATGAGGCTAAAAATAAAGTTTCAGGGCATGGTGGCACATGCCTGTAATCTCAGCACTCAGAAGGCTGAGGCAGGACTGCTGCGAGTTGGAGCCAGCCTGGGCTACAAAGTGAGTTCAAGGCCAGCCTGAATTACATAGCGAAATCCTGTCTCAAAAAAAAACAAAAACAAAACAAAACCAGAAACTGAAGCCAAAGTATTAACAGCCTATAATAGGAGCCAGCAAACTTTCTGTAAAGAGCCAAATAGTAAATATTTCGGGCTTCGTAGGCCATGTGGTTCCTTTCACAACTATTTAACTCTGCAATAGTAGTCCAAAGTAGCTGTGGGCAATAAGTAAATAAAACTATTTACAAAGACTCCCCATTTGACTTGACTGCAGGCTGTGGTTTGCTACCCCTTAGCCTAAAATAACAGGCCAAGAGACTGAAATTAAATTCCCAGTTTGAAAGTAGTTGTCCTTATGAGCTCTTCTCCCCAAATCTGGGTGGTCTTCTCTGATACCACCCGGCTCAGCTGGGCCGGCTGGCTGGTCTGCATATCCCACGCTTTCCGTATGTGCCCCAGGCTCCATGTGGGGCTCTCCCTGTTCCTCTCTGCTGTTCCTTCCTCCCTTTGTGCCAATATCCTCCGTAAGACTGAACAGTAGTGTGTCTGATTCAGCCTTGGTCTTTTCCCAGGGGACCAGTCACAGTGGGCGCCCCCGACATTTCCTAAATGAACAAATGAAGCTTTGGCCAACGATCTTAAAGAGGGAGCAGGACACTAGGGAGGCAGGTCTGACCAACCACCTGGGGCTTCGAGAATGTGAACAGGCCAAGGGGAGGGAGTGGCCTGAACCTTACTGGTATTTCAGAGTCTCCTGGTAGTTCCTCCAGTTGGCGACCTCAAGAGAGCAGCTGTCTATGGCCCGTACACAGGGGGGTTCACTTGCTCCAGCTGTTTCATCCAAAAATGGCCGCAGTCGCACAGCCACCCTCACTCGAGCTGGAGGAGGGCGCCGGCCCGCTCCTACCTTGCTTAGACGACAGCGACCAGCTCCTGGAGGAGAGTTTTGGGTATGAAATATGGTGAGAGCACAGCAAAGCAGAAACCAGCTTTGTGAGGAGGCTCAGAGAGCCCAACTCACAAGGGGGCAGCTCTTTCCACTGCGGCCGTGCTGTGGATGCCTCCCAAGCTCAACCCCGGCCCCTCCCTCCTCTGCAAGTCAGGAGTTCCTTGTGGTACCCAATGGACTAATATCTGCTCAAGTTGACTCAGCCAAGAAAACTGCTGACACTGAGGAGTTGGAACATCTTGAACACAAGGTATTGTACCAGCTCAGGCAGAGCCTTGCCGGTGAAACAAGGAGAAACATCCTGGGAACAATTTGATAAAGTTCAACAATTCAGCATAATTGTCATCACGCCTTTCTAATCTAAAACATGCACCTCTGTTCAGCAGAACACAAAACCTTTGTTTGTTTCTTAATAAAACTGGGAGGTTAAGTCAGTCCAAGCCTTCATTCCAGAAAGGCCTCCTGACTTCTCCACAAAGATATTCTCTGTCATGCACATAGGTCCAGCGGAGTCTACAGACTTCTCACACTATAACGCAAATAATCTGGAAGATCTTGTTAACATTCAGACTCAGCTAGAGCGATGCCTGAGACTGCCTTTCTGACAAGCTCCCAGACGCTGCTGCTGGTGGGGCTTGTTTTGAGTTGCCAAGGTGTATTAGACCAGCACTTTACAGAGTTGTACTCAGGATTGAAAGATTTGACATCTGATTCCACCTGACACCAGATATGAATTAGAATTTTTTGTGGGGAGGGTTGAGACAAGGTCTTGCTTTGTAGTTTGGGCTGGCCTTAAACTCACAGTGATCATCCTGTCTCAGCCTCCCAAGTGCTGGGATTACAGGCGAGTGCCACCAGACTCAGCAGGTATGAATTGCCTGACTTGGCACCTCCATTTTTACCTGAGGTTTCTAACTTATACTTAGATGTAAATATACACACCCTGCTTAAACTGCTGTGTTTTTCTTCATGGAGGATGTATAGGCTTATTTTTTATGTCACTCAGTTCTGTAGTGCTATGATGTTTGAATTTTTAAAAAACAATCACACTGTAATTAGGAAGGATCAGGGTGAGGAGCAACCCCCAGTCCTTTCCTGTCCCAGCTTAGTCTGTAAAAGGCACTGACGTATAATTCTGTCTCATAAGCTTTTCATTTAGCTTGCTTCCAATGATCAAATCTAAGGCATTTGAAAAAATAACAATTGTGAATTATTTTTATCAGCAAAAATCTTTAAAAGGTTCTGGTTTTGTCAGGATTAAATGAGTTGGAAAAAACCTAAGGAGGAGCTATTACTCTATTTTACCTTAGAGGAAAGTATACTAAAGTTTACAGCTAACAGAATTCAAACCTAAACCTCTTCACTCCCAAATCTGCCTTTAACAAGGGTGCCATGTAGCCCCCCTTTTATGCGCCACTTGGGAAAGCTCTTCGCAGCCCTTCTTCTTGCTGGTGGTAGCAGCTGGTTTCCAGGAGCCAGAGGCTTTATAGAAAGGAAGAAAGGGGGAAAAAAGAAAGAAAAAAAGAAAAGGGTAGTATAATAGAAATAGCAAGCTAGATTAAAAGATAGACTAAAAGGCAGATAGATTATCCCTGGAAAGAATCCTACACGTAAGTAAAGCATGCATGTAAGCAGACGGTCTGTTTGAAAACCTGAATCTCTGTTCACCTAACACATGGGGCCAGAATCACCGTCTCTCATCTGTGGGTTACAAGGCACTTGAACACGGAGTTCTCATTTGTTCTTCATAGGAACCCCAAAAGTTAGGAGCAAGCAGGTAAGCACCTGCAAATGCATGTGTGCAGATGAAAAAGAAATGAAAGGGCTTCACTGATTTTCAAAAACTATGCAGGAGTCTCCTATACCTCACTTTTCCAGGATTTTTTTGAGAGAAAAGAGATTTAAAAACAGCTGTCTAGGCGGAACACAAAAATGGCAGAGTGGTGAGCAGCAGAGAAAGAGCCTCTCTGAGAGTCCCATCCAGATGCTGGGATATAGCAACATGAGGAAGACACAAAGGAGGCAAGTGGGTCCCCTGGGCCCAGAAAGGATCTGAAGTATGAACTGAAGCCCACAGAGAGAGTAAAGACAGAAACTTCAATGAAAAAGGAGGAGGTAGCCAGCAGTGCCTTTTCCCTGAGACAGGACTCACTGCTCAAAAGGAGCAGTTCAAACCTGCAGACACACAGTGACTGCTGAGACCTCCATGGAGAGATACAGCAGGAGAGGGGAGCAGCAGGCATGAAGGACTACACTAGCTGGCAGTGAGTGCTGAGGGCTCAGTCATCCCATGTGAGAGAGCAATTGGCCGGGAGCCATCTTGGAGAGGGGCCAACTGAGCTCTGAGCTCAGAACTCAGAGAGGCTACTGGCTCCATCTAGCGGCTCCCAGCTGGGCTCAGACCCACAGAAAGTGTGCTGACGGCTGCAGACCAAATGAGTCTGGTGTTGGCCAGAAGGTACAGGCTCACTGAGATTATCCACTACACTGCCAAAAAGCTACTGCTGGTTTACGAAGATAAATCAACACAGATCAGGCCTGTTTCCACATGTTGTCTACTGGTGACAGCAGAGACAAACCTGGAAATGGACTTTTTTCCTTTTCTCTCATTTGTTTTTGGTTGTGATGGTGGTTTTGTTTCTGGTTTGTTCTTTTTTTTTCTCCTTCATTGTTTCACCTTGTTTTTATGAGTGTGAAAGTGGTTTCTAGTCTCTTTGTGGTTGTGGTTCTGTTCTTTTTATCTCTTCCTTCTCTCTTTCCCTCTAGTCTTCTGCCCCATTTTCCCAAAGTTTGCATGATTCCCCTTTGTCCTCCAGCCTTATGTCTAATCTCTTCCTCTTCTTCCACTTCTCTATTTTCTTCTTAACCCATTTTAAATTTTAATCCCTAAGGGCAAAATTTACATATTAAGGACTTATAGCCTGCATATAATTTTCTGGTTTTAGATTTTGTGATATAACCACAAGTCTAGTTCATATAGTTAAAGGTGGCAAATTAATGACTACCTCAGTTTGTCATTTTCTGGGCTGTGTTTGATGGTGTCATTGCTGATGGTACCACTATAGCCAAAAATGACATAACTGTCCTAAACAGCTGCTATTCCTCATATTCCAAGACTGAGATTGACTAAGTGCCACAGAGAATACTGTTGACACAATGCCAAAGAACCAGGGGCTGGGCCAAGCAGGCACAACTTCTCATCCCCAAGAAATTAAAGAGGTAGACTCTTACAACAGACTCAAAACCCAAAATCCAGCTATACCTGGACGACACCTCTGAGTAGTCATTTCCTAAGTGTTCTAAATACTAGCAATAAAGCAGCCCACCATAGGCAATTTATAAGCATCACCACAGGAATTAAACTAAAAAAAAAGAAAAAAAGATACTTAAACAAGATGCAACCCCAGACATTCACTAAAAGCAAACCCGGGGGCAATGATGTAGGGCAATCTGAAAGCCACCCACCTGGCCTCTCTGAGGTGGTAGGAACAAAGGAACTGAATGAGGCTCTAGAAAAAAGCAAATCAGAAATAATTTCTCAGATAATTTCAGGGACGGTGTCCACAATGAAAACTATGCTTAATGACTCTAAAGCAGATACAGACAAAAAAAAAAAAAAACAGGAGGAGCTTAAGAAAATTATGGAAGCCAGGGGCCAGGGAGATAGCTCAGTGGCACAGTGCTTGCCTGGTAAGCGCAGGGTCTTGAGTTCGATTCCCAGTACCAAAAAAAAGAAAAGAAAATTATGGAAGCCATGAATGCTCAGCATGAGAGAAAAAAAGAAAGAAAACATATATAAGCACCTATGGAAGCTCAGTAATCAATACTAGGGGAAGTGAAGTCTGATGAAGAGTGTAGGCTCAGGTCACACAGCTGGAATGATTGATTGATTGATTGATTGATTTTTTGGTAACAGGAATGGAACTCAGGACCTTGCACTTGCCAGGCAGGTGCTGTGCCACTGAGCTATCTCCCTGGCCCTAAGATGGCTAGATTTAAATTCTAGCTCTGACATTTTATTGGCTTTTGACCTACAGGATGTGACTTTGCATCCATGCATCTTGGTTTTCTTGTCTGTAAAATGGGGTGGGTAGGGCAGGCCTTGGAGCGCTTTATGAGAATTAAAAGAAGTAATAGGTAAAATACCATGTGACTAGCACATGGTAGGTAGATTCATTATTCAACATAAGGTGACCTGGGTTCAAATCCCCAGCTCTGTCATTTACAGCTAAATAACCTGGTGCCTCAATTTCTTTACCTGTAAAATGGAAATAAAATACCTATTTATCAGGTTGTTAGGGGAGTAATCAGGTAAACATGCCTAGAATAAGACTGGTATGGTGGCACATGCCTGTAATCCAAGCACTTTGGGAGGCTGGGGCAAAAGGATCACAAATTTGAGACCAGTTTATCAAGACCCTGTCAAACAAACAGGGCTGGGGATACTTGGTATAATATCTGGTACTTGCTGAACGCTCAGTGTTTCATATTCATCCCCCATTTTCCAGGTAGGATAACTTCCACATAGAGGGGTTAGCCAACTTACCCATGTTCAAGAGCTAATGAATGACAGAGTGTCAAATAAAGGTCTGACTCTAAAGTCTATACATGAATTCCCAGGTCTCTTCATCCCCTTCCATCTTTGTATGTCTCTGAGACAGAGCGAGAAATAAGTTCTACTTACTAGCTGTATAACTTTGGGAAGTAATCACTCCAGGTTTCTCTTTATAAAAATTACAATAAGCCAGGCCTGTAATCCCGGCACTCTGGGAAGCTGAGGCAGGAGGACTACAAACTCAAGCCCTCTCTGGGCAACTTAGTGACTTAGCAAGACCCTGTCTCAAAATAAAAAAGTAAAATGAAAGGGTCTGAGGATGTAGCTCAGCTAGAAAGCCCTGAGTTTCAAAAAGCCGAAAGTGTGGTGCACACCTGAAATCCCAGCACTTAGAAGGCTGAAGCAGGAGGATCATTACAAGTCTGAGAC